GAAGTGGGTGGGATCAAAAATACCGAAGAGGAAGTGGATGGGATCAAAAATACCGAAGAGGTAGTGGATGGGATCAAAAATCCGTTTAGCACTGACTGGTACGGCGTAACTTAGCAAATGAGGAAGAAACCTAAGATTTTCTCGCTTAAATAGGCAACTAACGACCTAAGGTTATGCAAAGTGCTTCTCCYCTTGGTATCACACCTGACAAAGAATGCTAAAATTCCATGCTTACTCGTTTCGTTGCTGTTCTAATTGTGAAATAAGAGCTCCGAATATTAAGAGAACGTTAAATTTGAACRCCTTCTTGTCTGAATTACATCCTGCCCGATGGAATTGCTTGGGCACGAAAKAGGTTTCCTAACCTCTTCACGTAATAAAATGCTAACTGATTCGAGTAGGTATAGAAACGTTCATCATTATCTGGTGGATAATAAGAGCAATGACAGGACTTTGAGCCACACTGACGACATTGACAATTGGATTCAATTAAATGTTTAGGTTCTCGGGCGTTTATGTTTGACAGCCGCGAAGAGTAAATACTTATAAACCTACTCTAATGCCTAATAATAATAAGGAAAAATTTCTTTCCTTTGACAAATTTTGGTACAAATTATCAATGTTGTTCTGTCTTCATGGAACACAGTATAGCTAGTAAACAGGATGCCAGTGCAACAGTTGTACAATTCAAACTAGTCATTTTTTAACGCAATAAAYCGTTAAACAGGTTTCTCCTGCGGCATATATAAACTAGCGCCCTTGTCTTAGTAACACATGAATAATTTAAGGTAATTGCTACAAGCTTGGACAGGAAACGAATAAACSTTTTATAATTTTGGGGATATAAAACATCTGTTTGTGCCAAGAAAAAAATTAAATAAGAATGAAGGGCTGAAGTTGTCAAAGTCTGAAGTGTCATTCAACTTAACAAAGDGGGAGGAACTTATAGGTCACGTGACCACCTGGAGTCGCGGGTTYGATTTTCCAATGAGCCACATATGTGAGTTGAGTTTGTTTGATGCGTCGTTTTTTCCTTGCTACGAAAGTTTTTCTCCAGGCTCTGCGGTTTCCCCCCTCCGTAAAAATCAACGTGTGAGTTCAGTGCTGTTTGTCGTAAATAGTGAATGTACTGAGTGGTAGTGCTTGTGCATGGAGTGAACCTCACGGAAAAGCTCCTGAAGCGTCATGAGTATAGGATTTGGAACCGCAAATCGTAGGGCAATGCTCTTCAGGGTAGGAATGGTCG